TAATCAGTTCATCATTTGTGTAATTAATTTGTCAATATTTATGTATATTTTAATATGAGGTTACATACTTTACTGTCCTCATAATTCATAAGTTTCTACGGAAGAGTTGATTAGTAATTTTACTATTCTAGAGGTACTTTTTGTTTTAAATATTATAACAATGACTCGACCTTGACATAGAATTATGAATCTCAATTTTAACACTCACATAGAGGTATATCTATGAACATACAACAAAGCAACAAGACATAGTCTGGTGTAACACAGAATCAATTATCACAAGGAAGCAACTCGACAACTTCAAGTATACCTAAATAAGGAAATCTTAATCATTTCGGACAGTGGCGCCTCCAACGCCATCTATCAAAGCAGTATGACAGTTATAAATTAACGCGAATGTGTCTTCTCATTGACAGTGCTCTTACTATTAGATACGCCTGGATACGCGCATTAGAGCCGTGAAGCGTCTTTAACGATCCGATATGTAGTTCCGTATCTTGCTTAGGTGCCAATGAAAATATCTTAAAGTCATTCTGAACTTTATTTCTGGGGGATAGAAAAGGATAATATTTATGATGTGGAAGCCAATGGTTATAATAATAATAATAATAAGCCCGCAGGGCACCTTGAGGCGAGGTGACGGGCATTAGCGATCCCGCGGGCTACCATCATCCCGAGTGCTCCAGGGAGAGGTCACCGTTCCTTCTTCTCCGGCTTGCCTTAATTGGCTGGCTGGAGTGAATGATGACAAGGAACAGGTCTCCCACCTCTGGCTTGCCTTCATTGGCCGTCCAGAGTGGAGTCGCGAGAGCAGTGATCCTGCTCGGAGGGTAAGAAACTATTCGTAAGTCGCGAGTGGGCCAGGGATGCAGGAGGCTTCGGCTGGAGCAGATGATCTGAGTAGAAAGCGGTGGTAGTTTCTTAACCCTTCAGCCACTCACATTCTCGTTGCCCCTCTGTTGCTATATCTAGCAACCATTCCCGGGGCCCGGTCGGTGAGTTGGCAAGTCTCCGCCTGCCATTTTTACGTGTAAAAATTACATTGTTTCGGCAGGTGCCATAGTCATCCATAGTTCCTAATTTACCAGTCCACAGCAACCCATCCATAGCCCTACCTTTTTTTTTTTTTTTTTTTTTTTTCCATTATTCACAATAGTCCTACACTAACCGGGGACTGTCCTTGGGTGCATTTCCATAGTGCAAACAGGGATAGTCGCCGGTTTGTGTGTCCATTACATTTATATTAAAGTTGTCTAAAGGGCCTCTGCGCAGTTGGCTTCGGCCCCTCGTACGCCTCCCAAATGACCGGGACCCTGTGTTCCCGTGAATGGTAAAGACACACATAATAATAATAATAATATATTTATTTGCTTAAAACATGGTATAAAGTAGGTGTTACAAAAATATGGTTAAAGTACAACATGTTTTGCTAATATTTCTATAGCATGCAAAATCAGGAAAAGTTCTAAAATTAACATCCTAGGCGTGAGGTTAATTTCCTCTGCATGAAATCACTTATACAATAATAGTTTTGTTCATTAAGCCATTTGTGCAATTTACGCTTAAATAGATTTATATTAAGACATTTCAAATCATTCGGTATATTGTTATAGATACGGATACACATAGCCAAGCAATTCTTATTATATTTTGCTGATCTAGGAAAGTCATTTAGTACAAGTCTAAATGGATCTCTGCGATTTCGTGGATTGACATCATTTGCAGTTTTAAATAAATCTTTGTTTTTTGTAACGAACATACATACTTCATAAATGTAAAGTGACGGTAATGGTAACAAACCAAGTCTTTTGAATATTGGTTGGCATGACTGATCAGGTTGCAAACCGTACATAGCCCTTATGCACTTTTTTTGTGCGATAAATGCCTTATCCCTATCCGTGCTATATCCCCACATTATTAGGCCATAGCGAAGCAATGATTCTACATGTGCATGATAAGCCATTATTGCTGTATTTAAGTTTGTAATATTTTTTATTTGCTTAAGTGCATACACAAATTTGTTTATCCTAGCAGATATATGTTCAACGTGGTCCTTCCAATTCATATTTTCATCTATAATTAAGCCCAGAAATTTTGTTTCACCTACTCTTTTAACTTTTGGTATCGTTAGGTTGATGTTGTGTTTTGTAGTATTTGATTTATTGAATTGTATGTACACTGACTTGTCCAAATTTATTTTTAATTTATTACTATCTAACCAATCGATTAATTTATCTATTGTGTTGTTAACATCAAGCGCGTGGTCATTTGTTGCGTTTCCGTTCTTACGCGTTGCAACTATAATCGATATGTCGTCAGCAAAAAGAACACACTTATGGTTGGTGATATTTACGACATCGTTTATGTACAACAGGAATAAAATAGGCCCCAACACGCTACCTTGCGGTACACCACGCCTGACATTTTTGTATTCTGATGTTGATGGTGTAAGCATCATATTTTCATCAATTTTTGATATTGTTACACATTGTTGTCTGTCGCTGAGATATGAAGCTATCCAGTGATAAGTAGGACCTCTTATTCCACATTTTTCAATTTTGTTTAACAATATGTCATGTGAAACGAGATCAAAGGCTTTTGATAGATCAAAAAACAAGCCAGTGGTCAGATAATTATTGTTTAAGTTTGTTAAGATTGTACTTATGGTACTATAAATGGCTAGAGTGGTAGATTTTTGTTTTTGGAATCCATATTGTTCTTTTTGAATGATATTGTATTTGTCACAGAAATTCACTAGACGTTTGTACATACATTTTTCGTATACCTTGGACAGTATAGGTATCAGGGTTATTGGACGATAATTATTTATGTTGTTTCGTTCTCCTTTTTTGAATAATGGTTTTACGGTCGATAGTTTGAGCGCAGCTGGGAAAATCGCTTGTGAGAATGATAAATTGATCAGATACGTAAGGATTTCAACTAACACATCCTTGCATGATTTTAATAATTTTGTACCCAGCTCATCATATCCGGCCGCATTTGTATTTTTTAGAGACATTATTTCTTGTCTAACTTCATTTGGTAACATTGGTTTAAGGAATATTGAGTTAGGAATTAATGTTTTATTGTTGTTGCTATACGTGTAGTTGTTTGTCGTAACATGTCCTAGATTAATGTAGTGGTTGTTAAAAGCTGTTGCTATTTCTTTGGGATTTGTAATAACTTTACTTTCAATATTTATGTTATCTATGTTATGTTTAATAGTGTTGTTATTAATTTCGTTATTAATAATTGTCCAAGTAGCTTTACACTTATTATCATTTTCTTTTATAAATTTAATATTAGTATTTTTTTTAGAATTGTATATACATTTTTGTAGAATTTTAGCATAGGTTAAATACTTATTTTTATTCAATGTATTTTTGTTTTCATAATATTGAAACCGCAGTTTTCTTTTCATTTTACAGCTTCGCTTTAATCCCTTACTTATCCACTTTTGTTTCCCTTTATCGCACATATTAACTTTAATTTTGTTTTCGGGAAAACAGAGCTTATGAAATAAACATAATAACTCATGAAATTTGCTAAACGCTGTATTCGAGTCATTTTCAGTGTATACTTCAGACCATGATAGATTTCCTAAACATTCTTTGAATTTAAGAATGTTAGCGGAACTGTAATTTCTTCTGATAATATAGTATATTGGAGGTTTTTGTGATTTGTTTTTAATGGGAAAGGTAAGTAACTGGGCCGTGTCATGATCTGATAGATGTAATGGCAGAACTGTTGCAGACGCACCTAATACATTGCTCAGGATGTGGTCAATACACGATAACTTGCGTGTAGGCACATCGATATGTATTTTCAAGTAATGGTTATTGCATAAGTTCTGTAAATCAGATGTGATATTATTCTTTTTTAAAGTGTTGATATTGAAATCACCAGTTATTACTACACGTTTTTTTGTTTTATATTTTTTAAATAAAGAATTTAAAAGGTTGTTTAGTTTTGACAAGAATTGACTAGGGTCTGACTGAGGAGTTCTATAAATACAAATTATTATTAAGTTATTATGTGGCACCTCTATACCACACGCTTCAAAGGTATTTTGTGATGCATGTTCTTTAACAAGTGAAATTTTCGTGCACATAATTGTGTTTTTCACTAGGATACAAGTTCCACCTCTTTGCTTATCCCTACAGAAACTATCAACCATGATATAGCTATGAAGTTTTACGTAGCACTCATAGCCTTTTTTGATAAAAGTTTCAGAGAGGCATATTACGTCGGGTTCATTTAAATCCTTTTGTAGCTCCTTTAAAGTTATTTCAAGGAGTTCTTGCTTAGATAGTAGGCTGGCTATGTTTTGGTGTAATATTCTAAATACTAATCTAGGAGAGGTGTCAGCAAGAAGTGCATTAGTTCCGAAAAAACGTGTTATTTCTTTTTATTATAGGGAAGTAGAAGGGTATAGTTCCCTTACTGTTATTTTTTTCAGGTGCTTGTACATTGGTATTTGATTGGTGTCTATTTACATTTTGAAGGCGGTTAAAATAATAAGGAATGGTCCCTTTTTTTGGTTCACATGCGCCAGTATTTGGTTTGTTACTTGGTTTGTTACACATTAGTTGTCTAAGAGCTTTAGGGTTAAGATATTTTGCACTATAATCACTATAATCCACTAAGTAATTGATTGAAGCACAAATTTTATACAAGTTGATGAATGTAGTGTTCACAAAATTACAATTTTTATATATAACACATATATTTTTTATAGCTTTATTTAATTTAATAGTATCTAGATAATAGTTTTTTGCAACACCTAGCACTATAATGGTATTATCATGAAATTTATGTAGAATATGTCTTAAATGTGACAATATGTTTCTTGCATTATCATCATTTTCTCCCACGTTTACTATAAGTTTGTCACCCGGTTCCATTTCAAGGTGCTCGCAGTTTTTTACTATTTCGTAAGTCATTGCATTTGGTTTCGTTTCAGCAATTATCCTGTATTTGTCGTACTTGGTACTCCGTCGTCAGGACATAATCGTTGCAGCCAGGCCCACACATTGCTGGGCACCGAAAATATATATCGATTTATTTGGTTGTTTGACGTAATAGGAAGTCGGTGGGTGAATTATTTTCGATTGTGTTGACAGCGGAGTACTGGTTTCATTACAATATATCGTATCTGTATTTAGACTGTTGTTACGTAGACGTTGAGTTAAGGATACTATTTGTTGAGTGAGATTAGTGATTTCTTGTTCCGCGGTGTTCAGCTGTTGTTGGAGACTTTGAATCTTTCGTTCCAGATTTGATATATGTAAGAACTCAGAATGTTGCTTGGATGATACCGGAGTAGATACTGCGTTCCGTTGTGTTAATGCCCTCTTCTGTATTGAGTTATGAGTACTTTCCATAATGGTAGACGACTGGCACAGCAATTTTAGTGTATTATTTTCCGTGATTAGTTTTTCTATTTGTTTATGAAGGCTATTATTTTCTAATATCAAGTTATCTAATTCTTGTTCAGTCATATTTAGCTTCGTTTTACACTGTAATAGTGTTTCTTTCATTTCTGTTAATGAGATTAAGTCCGATAGTGTTCCATCTAGGCTCTTAGACAGTTTATTAGGCGAAATATGTGATTCATTGAGGGTTTCACTATCAGAAAGTACGTGTGAGTCCATCATCGAGGCGTCGTTGTTTAGTGTGGGAGTCGGTGTTGGCTTCTGTTTTTTTCTTACTGTTATGTTTGATATAATGGTGCCGCTAGCACTGGCGGTCTTCTGCTTTGTAGCTGCTTTTACACACATTTTACATCGCCAATTCTTTTTTGATTCAGCGCTTAATAATCTGTATGTTTGTTCTGGGTAGCCATCGCAACAAAGTTCAAATCTGTTCGCACATACTGAACATAGAACAGTTGACTTTATATCCACGCATTTCTTGCATTTAAAACATGCCACTAGTGACATCTTGCGGCCATTGTTGTTCAGTTTGGGGTTACTATTAATTATTCGTGACATCTTGGTTATTTATCGTGTTTGAGTTGTAGGTGAAGGAACTTTTAAATTTTTTTTTTTTTTTTCGAACTAGGTAGGAACAAGTTTCGCCCTCTATCGAAGTATTTGGTTGTTATTGTTTTGAACCCTTTGCAGAACCTAATTTCGAAGCTTTAATAGAAGACGTGCCAGTAAATAGTCATTGTTTCCCCATTTTCAAGAGGATCCCTATTTCTTTTCACTTTGCTTGCAGTTTAAAATTTATAAAGGCATCGTTAATTACGGTTTTAATTGCATTGCAAAAGTCTATTTTTATAACAATATTCATCTTCCCAATCGCTTTCTTAGTATCTACCTCGAGATTATACAAAACATTATTAATCTAAAATACTAAACCTTCAATAGCTAATTCATGAAAAAATACTAAACCTTTAAAAAAGGTTAGGTTTTCATCTATGTCACGAGTGACCTACTCCTGTCAATCATTGGAAATTAAGCCTGCTAAGTGAAGATCCTACCTCTAATCCTCAAAGAGGGAGGCCTGACAGATGGGGCTAAGGTCTGGACATCAATGGACTGGTCTCAACAGCTCTGAGTGACATAATTGGTCTAACCCTTTCGCTACAATCATTTTTGATAGCATGGTTCGGGTAGTGGTTGAATTATCGGCTTCTATGCTGTGTATTGGAAATTCAATTTGTATATGAAGTAATGTTGACGTTATCTTCGTGTACCATAGTGTTTTAGCCTGGAGATTATTTTTACGTATTTGCACAGAGAATGTGTGTAAGGCAAAATACTTGGTAGAGATTTTTTAAAATAATACTAACACAGAATCAAAAACTATACTCGATAAAGCAACAAAATATTAGCTCTCCGCTAAAAGAAGAAAATAACATTAAGAAGGTACAGCCTCATTTGGAAAAAGGTAACATACATTTTGCATAAACTTTTTTTTATTGTTTTGAAAACCAAAATACTAAAACGTTTACAACTCCATACTTAAAGTAAGAAACGAAAAGCGTATAATTTCTGTACGAGTCTAAGATTCAAAAAGCGCTAAGAAAAACAAACATGGCGTTGCATGTATCTCAACGAGAACATCTCATCTAGAGCTGTGTACACCCATCCAGCTATACTATTAGCCACTTTATTATGGTCTAGCTGTGTATAATCCTTCCGCTCTTTCTCCGGTCATTTTATACTGGTTTTGCATATCTTTATGTGTGTACGTTTCTTAAGAACTGCTGTATACAATATGAACGGTGTTTACGTCAAGCCTAGCCTGTCGAGACTATAACACAATAGACTTTGCTAGTATAACTAGTTGTTAATGGATGTGAATGAATGCGTAAGTTTATTATTCTTTTTTCTCAGGTAAAAATGGTAGATATAGAGTAGTTTTTCCTTTGACACGTGATTCATAGTGTTTAGGTTACTACCTACTTACTATGAGTTTGTTAAAATCGATAGTTTCTTGATAATTAATTTGGTTTGAAAAATTCATTGTGCTTATACATACCACTTATATATGTATATATATAGATTAGAACGACATTACCAACATGCCTACTTCTAAACTTCCTACAACTCCTACTAATACCTATTGATAAACAAATACCATTCCTCGTCCGGGTATCAAACTCGGGACTCAGACAAACAAGGCGGGTCAACTAGATGGTAAATGTTACTCCAGAATTACCGACGTGATTGAGTGCCAAGTATTTGTGTGGTAGTGACTGGAAATACACTGACATACACACACTGAGTTCACAAACAGACTTACATATATTATCTATATATTACCTATACATAATATAATGTCATGCTTTCTTGTTTCCTTGGATTCATCATACAGGTAGATTCGCCAGTTAACAATCAACCAAGAGCCAATTTTTTAATCATCAGTTAATTTTTGAATGTAGAATGAATTTGACATTTGACAGTTATTAGATAGTATGGAAGAATTGTCAAATATTCGAATTTATTCCTCAGTCAAAATAGAGGTACATCTGACGTTGGAAAAATCGGCCCCAAGTTAATTAGTATAGAGGTAATAAAATAAAGATTGCTATATTACATGAATTGTACGGTTTTTAATGGTGTAAATACAGAACGGATAAGAATGAAGCCGTCGGTAGGTCACCCTAGACGGGCATATGTATATCGACCAGATTGGCGATATATGAAAGAAGGGCTGAATTACAAGTACCCTTGTTCCGTGAAAAGACCGATGACTGTTGATGAAGCGAAAGAAGTGTGTAAGAATCGTAGCAATTTGCGTTCCACAACCTTTGCCTACCCACATGGGAGACAGGCGTGAGGATCAGGCTAATCTGGTTGATATATGTCCGTCTAGGGCGCCCTCTACCAATGCTCTAGCATATTTACTTCTTCCGAAAATATGTTTTTATCCATCCTTCACCTGAATCGGCAATCAAACTCATAACCTCTTTAATTCCTCGAAAGAGGAAGCTTATATTACTAGATGCAGTTTTTTTAGCCATCTGTATTCATACTATTACCAAACACATTGAAAATCAGCAACCTAATTATACTTAACTCAACCTAAAAATTATACTAGAAATCGATGGCTAAGCAACCTCGCTTGTAAATAATGCGAGAATATTAAAAGTATTTCATGAATACTGAAAAGATGGCCTAATATTATTTGAATTTTAGTTTATTTGCATGACTCATACTTGCTACCGGCTACTAAACTGTCTAATTTAAATGAAGATAACAAACACATTTCAATTAGTGTTTTATATAGTTCAAAAATATATTCTTTCTATTTTCTATTCTTATATTTTGACAATGTTTTTTTAAGTAGTTTAGCAGCAGTGTAGTACTCCATTATTTACATAAGTCTAATGTTTCTCTCCTCTACTTAATTGGAGATGATGAAATCTTAATTTTAATTCTTGATTTGAAATTACAACAACAGATAAGACTGTATAATCGGTTCAGTCGTACCATACGATACGGATACTCTAGTTCAATTCTCGGACCGACAGTGTATACCGAAAACGATTTCGGGATATTCACAGAACTACTCCAAAATTTTATCATCAACTTGAAATTAGAATTTTAAGCAAATAAATAATACACATAAGGGTGTGTCCACATCTGGCGAAACTGCGGTTCGCGAGCCGCTCGCGACCCGCTCGCGCCCCACTCGCGTATTGCGCGCGTGCAGTCACGGAATGGTTTGGTACTCAACTTACACAAGGTTCGTATAAATAATAATTTTAAATGCACGCGGACAGTTCGCGGGCAGCTCGCGAGCGGCACATTCGCGATACATTCGCCCTATATAAATTCACCCTAAGGTTAACCCTACCATTTTATGCTTAGTTACGTACTAAGTCTATATCATTATGTATACTGCCTCGTTGGCCGAGTAGTCGCAAGTGTGACTGCCGGGGTCTCGGGTTCGATTCCCAGATCGGGCAAAGTATAACTGGGTTTTAAAAAATTCTCAGTAGTAGCACGAAGTCTGGAAATGTGCCCGGTATATGGCAATATACTCACCACCTTATATACCTATGGGACTTATAACATAATAGTGAAAAGTGGGTGTCACTTCTGTGTGCACCTTTGCCTACCTCTTCGGAGATAAAAGGCGTAATGTTATGTTATGTTATTATATATACTTACTAGAAAATAACTACGAAGAAACTGTTTGATGTAACCACAGTACTTATGTGGGTCGGTAACAAATTCAAGCGTACTACCAAAGTTGAACGTTCTAAGTATAAAGACACGAAGTCAAATAATCTTTTTACCAAGTATCGTAAATATTGCGCAATGGCATAGAAAAAGTAATAGATTTGTCGTATAGAAGAGAAACTACTTTTTCCGAAGTACTTATAGAACTACGTAACATCATGTCCTTTATTCCATGGAAGGGTAGGCAGAAAGCAATAAATGTAACATATATATAGGTACACTTTTTGTTGATTATGTTACAAGTTTAATAAGGTGTCGTTAAAGTCGACTTCCAAATAGCACCAGGTGATAGGCAAAGATCCAACAGTTATCAGATCAATATAAAAAAAACTAAGTCATAATTTGGTTTTTAAATCACAATAATTTATGTATTATCTACACTTCACCAAAGTTGACACATTTAATAAGGACTTTAAAATGGTATACTAATCCCTACATTATTTTTTAAATTGCGCACAAAAATTATATGACTTATTTTTTTTTAATTTTCTGATAACTTTTGGAACCTTGCCTATCAGGTGGTACCATTGGATATCGGTTTAAGGGACAGCCTGTATGTATAAGGACGAACAGAGCATACTGCTCGATACTATACACAATTCATACCTCGTGCAAATTCACAGAAAGATTCGAAAATAGAAGAATTCATAATATCCTAGTACGAACCGGGAATCTTAATGAGAGACCTTTATGCTCAGTGATGGACGTCATCAGGCTGGTGATACTGATGATGATTAAGTATATGCAGGAAACCGAACGTTTTTGTATTTCGTTACTTCACAATTAAACTGAGGATTATTTAATACTATAGTTAATTGACGTTTCGTCCCTCCAATCCAAAAACCTATTAGACTACTAAGAATCTCTACAAGTGCCCTACGATACTCGTGAACGTTTCGTATCGCCAATCAACACGTTTGGATTGACATTAGCTTCCAAAATGTCACGTGACAAAGCGTGACGAAATTCAAACATCGATGAGTAAATTATAGAAATAGAATCAATAGGCTGGCTGAATAGATTTTTATGTTAAAACTCTTTGGTAAAAACTATTATTTATCTGTGCACATGACAATGAAAACGGTGTCTGTGTCAAACTCGTGGGTAAAACCTATTTACAATGTCTCACATCCTATAAAACACCATTCCGTGTCTACAAAAATCGTAAGATATTTACGTACAACAAAATTTTACAAAGCAAACAAGATAAGGTCTGACTCGGGGTTGGATGTGTGCGTTATCAACAGATCGTTTTATAGTCACAATGAAGTTTTTGTGTGCGTGCGCAACGA